ATGGGAATTACACATACTTATTATAGAAAATCCATAAAAATTTCCATTGGAGGTAATGCAAACATTTAGATGTGTTACTTCTAGTCTTCAGATTATACCTGTGTATATGCTGAAATGTAAAATAAATCAAAATAGTTTGATTCTTATTTTCTCTTTTCATTTTTCTCTTTTCATGCATTGTTTGATATTTCTTTTGTTGTTGTTGCTTTTTCTTTTTACTAAACTTTGAAGAAGCAATTTTTCACAATAGGGTATTTTTTTAAAAATAAAATCACATTTAATTCCCCTAAAATTCTTTGGATTTTAAATTTTATGAGCAAATGAATTAAGTTCCTTAATTTTATATTCTGAATATATCAATTTAAAGCTATGAAATTAAGATTTTTGAGAATTCCAAAATGTAGGCATATATTGATTTAATTAAGAATTTTAAAATTTGGGGGGTTAGAAGAAAAACAAATTACATAAATATTCAAGTATTATTTTAATAAGAATAACTCATGTTACTTATACAATATTCTACAAATTAATACAATGGTACTAAATTCCATAATCCAATTATCTGTCTTAGCACTGCTACACTGATTTTGTTGTAGTCTACATCATTCACGAAGAATGGTAAATTGCAGTTTCATGTGACATCTTGTATAATTTATTATTCAGTACATAGTATTATGTGGCATTTAAGAAAATTAATCATCTTTTTACTTTTATGTTATGTATAATTTTGTTTTAGGTAACATTGGTATATGTAGCATATTTGAAAATGTGAATCTATTTATAATACTTGGAGCTTAAAATACATTTATTGCATTAATTATACTTTTGTTTTTCCTTGAAGTCACCTTTTTCCAAGTTTTATATTTTTTTGTCATTTTCATTATTTTAGATCTCTTAAATGTTAGTTTTTATTTGTGACAGAAAATTTTAAGATATATATGACACCTTCCAATATCTAGCAGTTACTCCCTTATGATTTGCAATAACATTATATACTAATCTTTTTCTACTTCCTCTGTTAAAAATTTAAGTTAAGTTGAATTTTGACTATTCTACAGTTTTTTTAGTTAAGTACATCCCACATTTTGCAGGCACATATTCTTTGGACCACTCTTCTTTTTACCATATTATTCTAATGTACTACTATCTCCAAACATGGTGAGAGAGACGGATCACTTGTGCTGTGGCTATATCACAAAGAATACCAGCATAAGCATCGCCTATTTAAGGAACTGAATATTTTTATTACCACAGAAGTCCCTCATCTTTCCCATAAAATCCCATAATTCTCCCTTCTCCATAAATAACCACAATATTGATTTTGGTCATATGCATTTCCTTGCTTTCCTTTAAGTTTTATTAAGCATCTTTTACTATACATATCTAAATGATATAATTTAGTTCTGTTTTGGAAACCTGAAATAAATAAAATCATATATAATTTTGTTCACATGTGAGTTTTTCTTCACTTGACTTTCTGTTTCAGAGATTCAACATGCTGCTATATATCCATATGAATATATCTGAATTGACTGCTGCTTTTTAATGCTTAATGCCTTATGTTTCAGAAAATCCTTAAGTATCCCAATGTTATAATGGTATTTTGTTTTTTTCTAGAAACAATATTTTCCTTTCCATCTTCCCTCTTTAGATCCTTCTTTCAGACAAAACAGATTTACATATATGGTATGAGTAATAAATCCAATTTCTGTTTTTCTTTATGTAGATAGCCATAAGAAAGATGCATATATTCCAAAAATCACATCATATATGAAGTGGTCATATATCTGAATATCTTTTCTAGGCTTTTAGTATATCTTATCCTTACCAAATCATCTTGTAAGTACTTTTTTTCAGAGAACATAATTACAAAGATCAATGAAGCATAACATTTCTTTCAACTGTCTTCTATTTTTACCAAAGTAGACAGGATTCTTCAAAAAATTACTCTGAGAAAACAAGCTAAATTGTAGTAATACCATATATTTGTAGTTATTTTGAAATATAGTAAGAAAATCATCACCTTATTTTCATGATTTACTTACATGAGTGATTAAACAAAGGATGTAGAAGAAAAAAATTGTGTGACCATATCTTTAAAGATTTACATATGTGAATATTTATTTTATGGTAATAAAAATTGCAAGGCTATGACCTAAACATTCATATTATTGGTTTAAGATATCTGTATCTAAATTTGTGTCACTAAAAAATATTATTTTTCCTAGCCTATACTAGTTAGGCTCACTGTCCAAGTGTGTTTCTATACTGTAACTGTAAATCAAAAGTAGTCCTATATGATGCTTCTGAGTGACAAAATTTCCCCAAGCATAGCTAAAAATGAGAATACTTTCCCTTTACCTTTGAGTGCCTGATTCTTAGGTTCTATTATCAGTTTGTAGGTATTAGGAATAGATATATGAAACGCAATAACAACAGAAATATTAATATTCACACTATATATCCTTCAATTCTGTGATCTGCCAAGATCTTCGTGATTATGCAGTTTCAGAAGAAAACCTGAAAATACTTTACATACGCATTACTTCAAAAATACAAATGTAAGCCCTATTTGTTGACCAAAATGTACTTTCTTGAAAAAGACAAAAAATGGTTTGAATATTATCCCTACCTATGTTCCTAGTAATCTTTGATAATTGTTACCTTATTGTTCTGTTTGTGATAAAAAGTAAAATATTTGCTGGAAAATGTAATGAATAAAGAAAGACAGCTGAAAGAGATTTGACCTAATAATTTTAAAAGGCTTAATATGTTTCATAGTCATAAATAATGTCTTTCAGATATTATGTCAATTTAATATGCCACATGACGATTTTATGATAGTAATAACAAGCACTAGCAGAATTTGGATGGTCAGTTTAGGAGATTACACATTACTTTTTTAAATGGTAAGCCAAGCACTTAAATGTGGAAAAATATTGTTTCCATCTATGTGTCTTAATTATTTACAAATTCCATAACTGTATCTTAAGGCACACATTTAAGAAAGATAGTCTCTGATAATTTTTTGAAGAATAAAAAACGTCAAAAATAAAAACAAAGCTAGAAAGGTACACTAATCCAGGATTTAAGACTCTGTAGCCATTCAAAATAAGGTTAACTGCCTGAAGAAAAATTTGAACTCATTTTATTTTATAGTTATGCATATAGCCATCTCTGAAACTTAAGAAAATACCAGTTGGACAAATGAAACACTTCATTTTTATCAAGTCTAAATTAACCCTATTAAATAGATTATATTATTCATTTTATAGCAACCACCAGTGATCATAATATCATTAGAAATGTTTAAAAGCCTTCATTAGAAGTTATAGCCCAGCTGGGTGTAGAAGGGAATATCTTAATCCACTGTTTACAATTGTATTTAACATCCATACATGTTTGGTCAAGCTCCCTGGGTGAAGAGAGGAAGGATAGGGAGTGCAGAGCTAATGAGGGCTTTAGAAATAGAGTCCCACTGGGGCTAAACAGGATAGATGAACCTTGCAGACAAATCCCAAATCTTTTTTTTTTCATTACCTTTTCTACTGTGATTCAAATAATGCCTCTTTTCTATTCAGCCCATAACTTCTAGAAACATGTCAAACCATGTTTGCAACTCACAGCTGATAGACCAATAAGCCAAGCCTTAGCCATCACACATAAGACAACACCTCAGACCTCAGAAAGAGATGCCAATAAATCATGCAGACTTGCTCTGTTTGACAGATTGTTAAAAATACTCTTGCAGAATGCTGAAATATAAGACATTCATGCAATCTTAAATTCAAGTAACTTTATACAATCTGTAAAGAGACACTGACTAACCCACTAAACACATACACAAATGAAGGAAACACCAATCATGATATATTTACTATTTCTGCTAAATTTAGGTGAAAAAACTTTAGTATTTGTCATTTAAATTTTAAAAAATTTGATTAAGTATTTTTTCTTTGTTAGGCAAAAGTGCTGTAGACACATGTAATAAGAAATTTCTTATTTTAAAAAAGGATGGCAATTATTGCCTGATGCTTCATGCAAATGGTTCAACACACTGAGTGTCATCTGTAAATATCAATTGATAATAGGATTGATAAATTTCTCACAGTGATGAATAAAAGACGGCATACAGACTGAAGCACAGTGCCCTCTGGTGCGCATACAACATAAAATAAAAGATTATGTAGCAGTATATCCATAGATACAAGCACACCCAAAAAAATGCAAAACGAAATTTCCTTCTCTATAAATGCCAGTCAGTAACTGGGAATTGTAAACTTCTACCACTAAGAACCAATTCAAAGCTATAACTGGAAATAAAACATTCTTTATGGCAAAGATCAATACAATCTAATTCACTGAGGGAACCACTTGTACACTCCTCTACTTAATGGATTCACTGGGCTTTGCAGAAGCAGGTAGTCTTTGTTTGATTTAATATCCGATTTCTTCTGTAAAACTTATTTAGATTTCAAATATGGAGGAGTAATAAAAGCTAAAAGTGACTTAATCCCTTTTTTTCCTTTCATSTTTGCTATCATAGACTATTCATCTATTTCTTTTCATTCATTCCATTACTGTTTCCTAAGAATTCTAAATGTACAACTATTTTTCAGGAAACAAATGAATGACTAGTAAAAGATTATCATTTGACTCACATAGATAACAGAGAATGGTGTAAGGTAGAAAGGAAAAGCAATACAAGAAAATTCATTCTCAATTTTTGGATAGTTAAAATGAGAAACTCTGCATTAAAGTATATTGGCATTTACTTTAAGACAGCCTTCTAAAATTTGGGAGTGATACACAAGTGGTCACCATTACCTATTTTTTTTCTCATAGATGTCACATCTAAAAGAAATATTTTAAATGGTGAAAAAGCATTACTATGGTTCATAGTCAATAATAATCCTTCTGAAACTTTCCCTTAGAGAAACTTATTTACACACAACCTTCAAGGATGATATCTCTGTAATTGCTTTCCCTTTGCTTCATACCTGTATATCTTGTATCTTGTGCTAAATCCCTGCCGGCTTCTGTCCACAAAATCTGTGTATTCCTGTGAGCGATGGAAGGGTCCCTTATCAGAGAGGAGCCAGTCGAAGGGGCTTGTGGCATGCTGATCCGAAACAGCAGCAACCGCTAAAACCCAGCAATGAAGACTCAGTGCTATCCACTCCCATAGAGCCATCAGAGAGAACAATTCAGCACCAGCTCTGCTCCGCCATATCATGCTTCCACTGGGGATTTAGAGCCTTCATTCTCTTAGCTTTCCCTCAACACCTAGACAAAATACACAGGCAATTAGTTAGCCCCTGGAAGGTTCTTTTCTATCAGTTAAGGTGCTGAAGTGACTAGTTTATTCTTTTTTTTTAGTCTAACGTAATTGTTTTAAATTAGATAATAACAACTGAATAAGAAGAAAACTAAAACAACTTATTTTTTCAGAGCTATATATTTTAATACATTTTTTTCTTTTTTATAYTAATGAAAAAATAAGTTATTGCGTCATAACAGATCCACAGCAATGCCATCCAGTGGATCATTAAAATCTATTGAGCAACAATCAGAACTTTCAACTAATATTCATTTTTCTGCATAAATGTTTTATAAAATTGGGTTCCTTGGAAATAATACATTTAAATACCTAATTAATTTTATTGTAAATTGTGATAGTTATGCTTAATTGTTCATTTTACAGTTATTTTAGGGAAATACATTAGAAATTATTTAATATTATTCAGTATCAAGATAAACATGGAATAAACTTGATTCTAAGAATACATTATTATACAATATGTGTGTGTTCACATATATGTTTACCTATCAATATAGATACAGATATAAATAGATAAAGATAGATAAATAGATAAATGTATGAATGTGTGAGAGTGGATGAAGCTGGTGGAAGATATTTGCATAGAAATTCTTGTTTATTATTCTCATTGGAACAAACTATTTCCCTGATTATTTAAATGGAATCATAATTAAATAATTAAATTATTCCTAGGTCCTTTAACAGAATTAAGTGTGCACAGTCTCTTAGTCATAAAATAAGTGGTAGTACCTGAAAATCTCTTAAGCATACATAAATTAAAACAATGCAAATTGTTCATAAGCTATAAAACCACATACATTGTATTACAACCATCCAAAAATAAAGTAGCAAGAAGTATGATGGCAGTGTATAATCCCAGTGTGAAATGGTATAAATAAATTTATGCAAAGTTGTCAATGCAATGTCTATACACATGAAAGATGCTAGAAATATCTGAATTCAATTTTACTTTCCTTCCTCATCAATCATTTAAAATAACATCATTAATAACATATACAATTATGGAGTATATAGATTCTGCCTAGTAGGAAAGTTCTAATTGGGATAGTTTTAGCATGATCTTTACAATACAAACAAATTCACAAAAATTAAGAAATATTTTAGCTACAGTAGCTACCAAGATTCTCTAATATTCAGGTAAGGACACTGATAGCTTTAATTTTCTACTGTATTCTTATAATTTTTTGATATGAGAGGGATGCGGCAATAATTTTGTAATATACTATATTCCAGAATAACCATATGAGTGACTTAGGTCATCAGATTCGTAATCTTACCAACTACAAAATTAAAGGAATAATATCCACAATATATATGAGTTCCCCAATCTCATGAATTACTCTGATGTGGCAATTAAGGAATACCTTCTTTTGGAAACAACACAGGACGTCTTATACACAAAGACATTTTAAAGAGCGATTTATCATTAAGATTTTGGAATAGGAGTTGTGAGTGTTTGGATTGCCTTCATGGTGTACATGGCACTATCAAATGAGTCAAGTTTCAATTTTCAATTCTGCAGAAGAAAATTGATTTTTCAACATATCATTCTTATATGGGAACTATATCATTTAACTTTAAAAATGCTAGTTTTTTTACACTTACAAATCAAGAATTATTCATATGTGCAATGGCATATAATAATCTACCCATAGCCAATTAATATTGCTCATCTTTCTTAAGCACACACACATTTCTATTTTGCTAATCAAATACATTCAAGCTAGCAAAATTTAATCACTGTTATAAAAAGTTATATTTCCTTGTTTCCAGTAAGAATCATTTTTATTTCACACAGAAAGGCAAAATAATTTTTTCAAACTCTACTTGTTTTAAGTAAGAATAGTTTTTAACTGAAAGAAAGTCATGCTATCTAAATACAGCTTTTTTATTGACAAATATAATTGTGCATAAGGATATTACTGAAAAAAAAGAATTACTTAATTTTAATTTTTTTAAAAACAAATCTATATTTTTTAAAAACATCAACAAACAGTATAGCAAGTATAACATCAAGAGATGGTTTACCTAGTGATTAAGAGATTGAGCTCTAGAGTCAGACTGCCTGTATTAAGGACCCAGCCCACTATCAACTAGATGTTTTACCTCCAACAGGTTGCTTAACTTCTTTTGTGACTCAGATTCCTCAGCTGTCACAGAGGATCAAGTCATCAGTCTGTTACAAAGATTAAATATTTTAATATTTATAAAGCATCTAAACTATTATCTAGCATGTGGCAAAAACATGTGGTGTTTCAAAGAAAATTTCATGTTGGTATGAAGCCACACAATTACACGCCATAAAATTGAACACAGCTCTTTCTACTGAACCACGTGATTTTAGAATATATACAGTGTATAAAAATAGGATACAATTGACCTAAAATTCTGTAATTTTTCTACATATAATTAACTGCAATCCCACATCTGTTGCTTTCATTATCAATTGTGTTGACCATGTTTCATGGTGTTCAAATTTCCTTATATTTCTAAGTAACTTTTATTTTTGTATATTTAGGGTACACAACATGATGTTGTACAGTATAAGCATATAGTAACATGGTTACTAGGAATGAATAACATGTATMATCTCCTATAGTTACCCATTTTAACATATAGATGGTGGCTTTTCATCTTCTTAAATTATGTGTTAGGAATTACCTAAAAATACAACCAATAAGACTATTATTATTCGTTTTTCATTATTTCTGTTTTTTGTATTTCTGATCTAGGTACATGTTGTCACTTTGGTTCAGAAATGAATCTTTCTGAAAGGAATGTTCCCTAATACATGGAAATATCAATCCTGTTCAAATTTAAGGTAATTTTTTGGCATGTTTTAATATTTGTGTATAAAGTTTTGTAAAAGAGATCTATAATCTGGGCACAATGCCTATAATCCCAGATATTCAGGATGGTGAAGCAGGAGGACTCCCAGTTCCAGGAGAGCCTTGGCAATTTAGAAAGACCCTGTCTCAAAATCAACACCAAAAAGGGCTGGTGATGTAGCTCAGTGGTAAAGTGCTCCTTGATTAAACCACCAGTAGCCAAGAAAAGGAGAAAAAAAAATTGTAACAACCAAAATAAGATATCTCACAATAGTTCTACTAAAGTAGGCTTTGAGAGTTTTTCTTGAATTACAAAGCAAGGAGGTGGAATTCATAAGGGAAGGATGTAGGCTTCTAGCCATCCAAAGGACAAATGGACTCAGTTTTCATTAACAAATGGCTTAATTACCTGGCCTGCTACAAAAGAAAGGAAATATACACTTGAATCAAACATGTGTGAGTACTAAACTCTAAATTATTGCTGAATGATGTTAGTTTCTGCATTTGGCCTGAGTTAATAACTATATTAATCCTTATGTGAGAAATAGTTTTCTAATATACTTGCCAATGATGAAAGTAGGGATTAGAATTCATTAGTGCCTAGCAGAGTGTCTGAATATTTGGAGGTCACCATTGGGTAAACAGCTAAAAGAGATATATTGGTAAGGATTAAAAAGCAATCACCAATTTGCAGTCCCACCAGCAATGTATGAGTATGTTTTTTTCCCCATATCCTCGCCAACACTTATTGTTGTTTGTATTCTTAATAACTGCCATTCTGACTGGAGTGAGATGAAATCTTAGAGTAGTATTGATTTGCATTTCTCTAATTGCTAAAGATGTTGAACATTTTTTCATATTTTGTTAATTGGTTGTATATCTTCTTCTGAGAAGTGTCTGTTCAGTTCCTTGGCCCATTTATTGATTGGGTTATTTGGTATTTTGGTGTTAAGATTTTTGAGTTCTTTATATATCCTAGAGATTAGTGCTCTATCTGATGTGCTTGTGGTAAAAATTTGTTCCCAATTCACCACATTGATTGTTTCTTTTGCTGAGGAGAAGCTTTTTTAATTTTAACCCATCCCATTTATTGATTCTTGATTTTAAGTTTTGCACTGTAAGAGTCTTTCTAAGGAAGTTGGTGCCTAATTCAATATAATGACGACTTGGGCCTCTTTTTTTCTTCTAATAGGCACAGTGTCTCTGGTGATCCACTTTGAATTGGGTTTTGTACATGATGAGAGATAGGAGTTTAATTTTATTTTGTTGTATATGGACYTCCAGTTTTCCCAGCACAATTGTCAATAAGGAAAGCAGTATGGAGAATCCTTGCAAAACTAAGAATGGAACCACCATTTGACCTGAGTATCCCACTCTGGGATAAAACTAGCTGATTGTGACAGGTTTTTATTTATTTATTTATTTATTTTGTGTGTGTGTGTGTGTGTGATATATACTCAGATCTTTAGATCTAAATACTACTTTTACCTCCTTCACTCATTACACATGTCCACTAAATCTCCAGGTGCTCTGCATTTTCATTCTGAGAATAAAACCTGTGACTTTTTCTCTACCCCCACTTCACTTGATTGACTCATCCTGTGCTCCAACACTACCACCATCACCTCCAAACTGGTTGATTGTGACARCTTCAAAGGACTTAAAAACAGCATACTACAAGGCCACATCAATGTTTACAGCAGCATCATTCACAATAGCTAAACTGTGAAACCAACCTAATGCCCTTCAGTAGATGAAGGGATAAAGAAAATGTGGTATATATACACAATGGAATATTATTCAGCATTAAAAGAGAATAAAATTATGGCATCTGCAGGTAAATGGATGGAGTTGGAGAGTATAATGCTAAGTGTACTTATCTGATCCTTAAAAACCAAATGACAGAATGTTTTCTCTGATTTAAGAATGCTGCTTCATAATGTGATTGGTGGGGCGGGGAGCATGGGGGAGGATTAGTTATATAATTAACATGGCAAACTATTTCTTCTTTTATGTTTGTGTGTAGACTAATTATTGYTCATACCTAGATTTTTTCCTCAGGAAATAAAACCCACTCAAGAACTTGAATATGAAAAAAAGTTTCATAAAATAACTGC